TTAGTCTTTCTAAAACTCACTATGTTGCCCACAGTGGGCAACATAGTGAGACATCATCTCTACAAAAAATTTAAAAAATTAGCTGGGTGTGGTGGCACATGCCTGTAGTCCTAGCTACTCAGGAGGCTGAAGCAGGAGGATCACTTGAGCCCAGGAGTTCAAGGTTACAATAAGCTATGTTCATGCCGCTGCCTGGGTGACAGAGCAAGACTAGACTCTGTCTCTCAGGAAAAAAAAAAAAAAACACCAAAAAAACAAACAAGAGAGAAACAAGAGGAAGAAAAGAATTAAAACATTAAAATGCCTCTTGAACATATTTCTAACAGAATAAATTTCCAAACAATTTTAAGATGGCAAGTTGAATTTAGCAACAACATGAAGTTAAAAAAGAAAACCTTAAAGCAACTCTAGAAGAGACTCAAACAATATACCATAACCATGCAACTAAAGCCACAGACAGAACAGCCTAAGCCCTGCAATTGAGGTTTCAGACTGATCACACTTACAGACCCGAAACTGGCAAACAGTTCTGAAACCAGTGACTCACTAACTGGGAAACTATATTCAGAGCTCTTTTAGCAACTATAAATAAAGACTATCTCTAAATATGATCAGTGGGGCAAAACAGTCATTCATGTATGTTTCTACCACACCCACTTACGATTTTCTTCAATTCCTGAAAAAAGCACAACACACTGACCTCTTAATTCAACAAACATCATTTTAGTTTAAAGTTTTCCTTTAAAGGGTAACATGTTGTTTTAGTAAGACTCTGTGGAAATACTGACCTGAATCACTGCCATGAAACATTATTGAATCCAAGAATACTTTTATTTATCTGTGGATACTAACAATTTTCAGGAATGTTGATGTCTTACAAAAAATAAATTATTCGTTTCCACTTAGAAAAGAGTGAGAACAGGACTATTGTTTATCCATCTAGTTGCTCAAGCTAGAAATTTGCCTCAGCTTTTGCTGTAACAAAATCAGTATCCCCAGAGGTGGGGCCAGGGTTTTAATACGTTCCATTGGTGATTCTGAAGCACAGCAAGGTTTCAGAACACTGCTATATATCAATGGCATCACAAAATTTGAGGACCAATGAATGACACTAGAAACACCTGGAGTGCCTACTTTAAAGACAGTACAACCCCTCCCCTATCCCCCATTACACTCCCACTCTCCTGAACCTATGGAATGAGAATTTCTAGGAGTTGGGCTTAGGAATCAACATTTTTAACAAGGTCCACAGGCAATCCGGCGATCCTGATGTACACTGCACTTTGAGAATGAGAAGCCTTCCGAATAAAATTCAAGCCCCTTAGTGAGATACAAAACCCTTGCCTGTTTCCTCCTACCTCATCTGTCATTTCTCATCTTACACTTAGGAATTCAGTTTCCTTAATACCCCAGGTTATCTCACCCTATTCCTTTATGCTAGTACTAGAAAGAAGCCTAGGGGCTGAAGGTAGAATTACAAGGTGAGAAAGATAACAGAATAACATTGACAGTTCTGTAGCTCAGCCCTAGAAGAATGACCAGTTTTAGAATGCTAAACCTTTAGATAAACTCCAGTCTGTAAAGAAACCCTGTCTCCCTGAGATGTAGTAGGGTCAGAAGAGAAATGATATAAGTATCCTATCATTCTCCTGGTCTGGAAGCCTGACCTCCCACTTCCTTCTTTTGTCCGGTGAATTCCCATTATCCAAATTTCAATCCATTCATCATTAGCTCTGGGAGATCTTCCCTAAGCCTCCAAATTTCAACCCTATTGCATACACTGCTAGGTACCCCTCAATGTCCATTGTCCTTTTCTTCTATGATTAAGGTACCCCAACTTGTTAGCTTAGCACACAGCCATGGTTTGCTGAACTTCACTGTTAAACCAAATCACATTACCTTTTTATGTGCAATGTTCTTCGTACAAACAAAGCCATTGACAACCATAGAATCAAACTTCTTTCCACCTGGGATCTAATGGAACAAGTAAGAAAACAGTAAAATCCAATGATATATCCTTGAAATCCAATCAGATGGACACTATTATTGCTTTCCATTTTTTTTAACTACTATGTAATCAAATAGGACCAAAAGTTCCAGAATATAGTTCTTCCTTCCAACCAATGATTAATGGCATCTCAGCATGAAGCCTGTTTTCTCACACTCTACTCTCTAATGTACTATACCAGGTACTCTAAAATACTCACTGTCTGAATAAACTGGTGCCATTTGGCAGTTAAAACCACTATTGTTTAATACCATAGGCAACAAAATACATATAAGATACCATTACTATTGAATAAAGCAATATCCACTGTTTTTCCTTAGAACAGTGACAGTAGTCTGTAAGAATGGGCTTTCTCATAGCTGATGTGTCAAGAAAGAGGAAACAAGAAAGGAAGAAACTAAAATTGAGTTCCCAACTCATCCCCCATCCAACTCACTTCATCTGTTTCATCTCTCACTTCCTTTGTGTGGCTTCCATGACTCCTAAGTGCATCATTAACAGAGCAGATGGCAAAACCTCCCATTCCTCACCTAGCACCCCTGAGGATAATGACTCTTTTTAGATGACCATTAAGAGAAAAATCACAATCAGTCTTGCCTCATCAGTTCCTAAAATTAGCAAAGCATTAACAGAGCTCACTTTTTTAATGTGGACAAACTGACGGATATCCATGTCATCATCCTGGTTCTTGACATCAGGCCGGACTGTCTGAACTACCTGGCAGACCAATGACACAATGATGTCCCTCCAAGATGGTGACAATGAGTCATTATGGAGCAACTGCTGGAGTAGTGCCATCATGTGGTTATGATTAGCTGAACTACAAAAATATTACAAGAAAGGAGTTTGCATAGTTCATACTTCCAGAGACAATAATTCTGAGGACACAACAAGCAGTCTACAAAGAAATAAACATTTCAGTTATGGCTCTCAGATATTCTATACTGAAAGAATAAAATTAAATATCTGTACCTTAATGATTTTGCACATAAATGAAATCTGAGAATATCTTCAACTAAGATGTCTCCTTTAGTTTGCAGAAATAAAATTTTAACACATAAAATGGGGATAGACAAGCACAGTCCGGGATGCTTTGTTCCATAGGAAATTGTATCGGAAATCAGAATAGGATTTGTTTTCTAAGTAATCTTAGTATTTTTTACTTTATATAAAGAAGAGGTACTATGCATATGCCTATCAAGCCAGTGAAGATTATAAAAATGGAAAATTAAAATTAAAAAGCTCACTGCCTTACAGCAACCTCTCCATGGCTTGCTTCTCCCCATTCTCTTCCCTCAGGAGCTCCAGGTTGTTATGATGCCAGCCCAAAGGTGTGAAAGGCAGCTCTTTGGATTTTTCCTCTACCCGACGATTAAATAAGGATTCTAAGTAGGGTATAAAATAAGAAGTTATTACTTCATCATCATGTTTTATACCATCTACTGTTATACTTAGAAATTATCAATTTCTCTTTAAATTTTTTAAGTTGGCCAATGTAAGTTATTATTCTAAAAGGGCAAGGACATGTAATTAAATACATAATAAAATACATAGTAATACATAAATACATTGAAAACACATAATTTAAAAAATTAAGAAAAGCAGTAATTAGCAACAGCCAAAATCAGAGACAGAACTGTGAGAAGCAAATTTACATATGTAACTAGGACTTTCAAGCCAATAATTATAAACACAGCTTCTGAAAAGCAAATAAAATGAGATTTTTGCATTGTCCTTTTATTTATTTTGGAACACTAAAAAAGAAGGGTGTTAATTTTCCCTATAAAATCACAAACTGAAAACTGCATTCAACAGAAATCTGAATGCTGGCATAACAACATGTGATAATGTGGGTGCTGAACTTTCAAGCTCAGCTGGGATATCCTGAAACAGCAGATGACAGTATGCAAAGTCTGTCTATTCAGACGATCCCTACTAGTGTTTCTTTTTCAATACTGGCATGGAGGCTTTTTAACAAAATTTTAACAAGACAGACTCAAAAATAAATTATGAATATTAAAACATGTTAAATAGCAATTTATGTAAAATTTTGTAAAATCTTTAAGTTTTTTTAAAAGGGTGCAAATTGAACAAGATAAAAAAAAATTGATAATAAATGTCCTGCAAAAAAGATGCTCACTAAGGAATTGCTGAATGTGACTGAATAAATGGAAAGAGGTGGGAAAAGCTTACCAAATTCTCTAACCCTTCCCGTCTTAAAGCAAACCAAACAAACAAAAAAGCTTTCACTCAACAGTCTAGCAAACAACACAGTAAAGCATGTGTTCCATGACATGTGAAGTGCAAGAACTGCCCATTTCAATTACGTGAACGGCCAGTCTATGAACATCTAGTTGAATCAGATGCTTGGAGGTGAATTCAGAAGCACTGCCACGTTACGAGATCAGCTGTACACATGGCCTCCTTCCAGCTTGCCCTACCTTCTTTTATCTGAAACCATGAGAGCCAAGAAGACACTGGGAAGGGAACTTTTCTCCCATTATCTGAGGCCTAAGCTGTGGAATGTTGTGGCCCAGTTAGCAATGTCTTTACTCCACAGGAAGTTAAGCAGGGAAAAGGTGAGAAAAGGTTTACATTCTTCCATACTCCTTATGTTCAAAAGAAATTGACCAGCAGAATTAGCTCTTTTTTTTTTTGAGACAGAGTCTCACTCTTTTGCCCGGGCTAGAGTGAGTGCCGTGGCATCAGCCTAGCTCACAGCAACCTCAAACTCCTGGGCTCAAGCGATCCTCCTGCCTCAGCCTCCCGAGTAGCTGGGACTACAGGCATGTGCCACCATGTCCGGCTAATTTTTTCTATATATTTTTAGTTGTCCAATTAATTTCTTTGTATTTTTAGTAGAGACGGGGTCTCGCTCTTGCTCAGGCTGGTTTCGAACTCCTGAGCTCAAACGATCCGCCCGCCTCGGCCTCCCAGAGAGCTAGGATTACAGGCGTGAGCCACCGCGCCCGGCCCAGAATTAGTTCTTTATCCCCTTCTGCCTACTTCTCTTCCCAACTCCACAAGTCAAGCAGCATCCTTAATTGGATGAGATCTGTTTTTTGGGCTTTTTGACAAATGTGACAATCTTTGATGATATGTATATCAATATTTTACACTACCTTTACAATATGGGAAAGTATAAACTATTTAGGCCTTTAAAAGAGTAAGATTCAAATTCAACTTAAATGTTTTTTGGGTTTTTTTTTTTTTTTGAGATAGGGTCTGGCTCAGTTGCCCAGGCTAGAGTGCAGTGTTGTTATCATAAGCTCACTGCAAACTCAAACTCCTGGGCTCAAGCGATCCTCCCGCCTCAGCCTCCCAAGTAGGTAGGACTACAGGTGCACGTCACCATGTTCAGCTAGTAAAATTCTACTTAAAAGTTTTTAAAAAATTAATTTTTAGCTAAAAGACCTCCTTCTCTCAAACCAAGTCCCACTTATATTCTTGGTTTTCAACATTTTCAAAGTCACTATATATATTAAAAACTGTGTTCCCATGATATTAACATAACCAAATATATTTTCAGCACCTTCTCTACGCCAATCAATGCGCTAGGTCCTACGCATATCTTCACGAAAAAAAGAGACGCCACCCAATGTATGGCTGTTGATAAAATTACCTTTGATGAAGGCATCACTTATTGAGAGCTGTTGTCCTCCAGTGTCAGAAATCAAATACTCTGCATACCAGAAAGAGAACAAGAGAGGAGGAAGAAAAGGAAAGACAAATGACTACAACATGCCAGCATAATTATACAGAGAACACACCCCCACACAAAGTATTACTCATACTAAACCTACCACTGTCCCGCACATTTAAGAAAGCTTTGAGCTAAAATGCCTCTTTATACTTGCTCTGCATACTTCATACTAAACTTCATAGACTTGTATTAATAACTGAACAGAACCATGAAACAGTTCATTTTAATTCAAATGGCAGATAATCTTTCACAAATCATTTTTCCTTTACCAAAAACAAACCAGTTTATGAAAACTGAAACAGTAATTTATATAACTGTAAAAGATTATGCTATTTTTCTCATTTATAACTGTATTTAACAAATAAAGACTTTGTCTATACACAAGGCACTTCACAAATAGAGAACTCACCTGATAAAATATACGGTTTTTTTAAATTTCAAAATATGACCTATAAAACAAATTAATACAAAAGTAACACTAATAGGGAATAAAGATATAACTCATCTGGATTTTTATTAGTTTTGAATAAGTGTTTTTGTTTTTCAGAAATTCTACCAAACACTATTGAACACACACTGAATGCTTTTAAAATATTAAATATTTTTCTTATGAGTGAAACTTACTCTTTACTTCCCCATGAACTTTTCTCTAGGTACGTAACCAAGCATAGCTCAAATAAGGTTCTTTCCACTATGCAAATTAAAACATATCACATTTTAACTTCTTTAAGGTAAAGGGGTTCTCACCAAAATTTTTTCCAAGTTCATTTACAAACAAATGGGCTTTAAAAGTCAATATGTTTATAAGCCAGTATGCTCATCCTTTCAACCAAAAAAAAGAGAAAATATTTTACTTAGAGAATTCAAGTGCACCATGCCAAACACAATGAAATCAAGTAAGTGAATAAGACAGATGTTACACTTTATTTCTACTCTTCCTTCACAGAAATGAATAAGGCCAAATTCCGTTAGTTAAATTAATGTATTGTTCTTTAGAAGGCTTACTTCTCACACTAAAGCTTAAATATACATGAGATTCCAGACATGATCAATTTTCCCCATTTTAATATGAAAAAATTTCATACATATAGAAAGTGCTATATACCATCCACCTAGAGTCAACAATTGTTAAGGACTTGCCACACATGTGTGTGCTTCTTTTCCTGACCATTTGAAGTTACACATATCATGACGCTTTACCACTAACAAGTCAGCATGCCTCTCTTATTAATATAGGGGCATCCTTCTTTATAGCCACAATACTATTTACTTACTTGAGAAAACTGACAATGTCTTAATGTCATAGAATTCGTCCATATCCAAATTTATCCAACTGTCCCCAAAATGTCTTTAAAAGGTGATTTTTTTTCCTCAAACCTGGATCCACTAAAGTTCACACATGGCATTTGGTTATTGTGTCTCTTCATTCTCTTTTAATCTAGAGTCTCACTCTGTTGTCCAGGCTAGAGTGCTGTTGCACCAGCCTAGCTCACAGCAACCTCAAACTCCTGGGCTCAAGTGATCCTCCTGCCTTAGCCTCCCAAACAGCTGGCACTACAGGCGCTCACCACTACACCCAACTAATTTTTTGTTTCTATTTTTAGTAGAGATGGGTTCTCACTCTTGGTCAGGCTGTTCTCTACCTGACGTCAACTGATCCACCTGCCTTGGCCTCCCTGAGTGCTAGGATTACAGGCGTGAGCCACCACGCCTGGCCCCGTGTTCCTTTTCTTGATAATGAATTTTGAAAGAACCCATGTCAAATGTCCTGCGAAATGTCCCACATTCTGGATATGATTGATTGTTTTCTCATGGTATGTTTAACTTGCTCCTCTATTCCACATTTTCCTATACACAGAAAATTAGATCTAAAAGCTTGTGGAAGCCGTGATTTTTCACTTTCTTCTCTAGGTTCTACTTACTAACTTTCCAAGAATAGTTCAGAATCCTGCTTGCAACACACAAATAAAATGTATTATAATTGTGCAACTCTCCAAGACCAACAGTGAAAAATTAATCAACCATAAGATCATACTCAGCTTTACAAACTTCTAAAATTAAGAGGCTTTCTTACATAAGATAAAAAGCATTGTAGTCCCAGCTACTCGGGATGTTGAGGCAGGAGGATCGCTTGAGCCCAGGAGTTTGAGGTTGCTGTGAGCGAGGCTAATGCCACAGCACTCACTCTAGCCAGGGCAACAGAGTGAG